ACAGTGAACATAAAGGTACATATATTTTTTCAAATTAGTGGTTTAGGTTTCTCCAGATATATTCCCAGAAGTAGGATCGTTGGGTTCATAAGGCAATTCCAGTTTTATATTTATAAATTTGTCTCAACTTTTTTAAATTTAAATTTATTTTTTCATTGAGTTTACTGGGGTGACTTTGTTTAGCAAAATTATATATGTTTCAGGTGTACAGCTCTATCATACATCATCTATAAATTGTATTGCGTGTTCATCAGCCCAAGACACATCTCCTTCCAACACCATTTATTCTCCCTTTCTTGTAGAGTTTTATTTGTAAATTTTTAACTAGATTTTTAAAATATCTATTTATTTATTTATTTAGGAGAGGGGAAGGGAGTGAGAGAGAAAGTGAGAGAAACAACGGTGCAAAAGAGAAACACAGATCAATTGGTTGCCTCTTTTACCTGGTCCAACTAAGGATGGAACCCACAACCCAGACACGTGCCTGGACAGGAAATCTATCTGGAGACAATTTGGTGTGTGGCATGATGCCCAACTAACTGAGCCATAGTGGTCAGGGCTCCATTTTTAAATTTTTGACATAACTCCATACTGCTTTCCACACTGGTAGCACCAACCTGCATTCCCACCAATATTGCGTGAGGGTCCCCTTTGTCCTCCTCCTAGCAAGCAATTGTTGATTCATGATGATAGCCATTCTGAAAAGAAAAACAAACATGTTCATCATATCTTTTTAATATTGGGACAGAGAACTTCTCAATTGTTAATTCATTTTTTAACTGTAAAAAGATACTTTCTTGATAAACCCATTTTTCCCAAACACTCTTTTTATTGCCTTTGTACATATTTGTTCCTCAAGACTTTTATAATATAATACTTTGGACCTGAAATTTTGTACATTCATCAATTTAAAAATCTTCATGCAATGATATACATTTAGTGGCTAACTTCTAAAAATTTTAGATCTCTACTATTTTGCGATATGGCAATAAAGCTCAGTAAACTTCTTTTTGATATTCTGTGTATGTTAAAAATTTATTGCCTTTCTCTTGATATTTATAGACTTCTTGTGGTCATTAAAAATAAATTCTTAAACTAAGTTCTTAACTCATTTGTTTTATATTCTATGAGACATGTTGTAAAGCTAAGAATTGATAAATTTTGTGGAAAAGTAGAAACTTTAGTCAAGTGGAGTACTAAAATTTCCTTAATATTTAAACTTTTTCCTGTATATACCCTTGAACTTCTGTTTTATTTTCCTGTTATTTAAGGATTATTTAAAAACATGTGTTTTTATTTTCCATGCATTTGGTGTTTTTTTTTTTGAAAACCACTTTAATGAAGTATGCTTGACATGTAAAATCTGTACGTATGTGATATATGCAATTCATTGAATTTTTCCAAAAGTACACACCCATATGTATTAGATATTGTCAAATTTTTACCCAAAAGGCTACAACATGGTACCATACGCTCTTATCTCTGCCTCTTGATGAGCAAAAAGTGGGATTTCTGGGTCAAAAGGCAGTTCCATTTTTGAATTTTTGAGGAAACTCCATACTGTTTTCCACAGTGGCCGCACCAGTCTGCATTCCCACCAGCAGTGCACAAGGGTCTCTTTTCTTCACATTGTGGCCAGTACCTGTTTGCTGATTTATTGATGATAGCTATTCTGACAGGTATGAGGTGACATGCCTTCATTGTGGTTTGAATTTGCATCTCTCTGATGATTAATGTGATTGAACATTTCTTCGTATGTCTTTTGGCCATCTGTACAACCTCTTTTGGAGAAGTGTCTATTCAGGTCCTTTGCCTGTTTCTTAATTGGATTGTTTGACTTTCTGGTGTTGAGTTGCATAAGTTCTTCATATATTTTGGAGATTATATCCCTTGTCAGATGTATCATTGCTAAAAACATTATTCCATATACTGGGTACCCTTTCCATTTTTGTTGGTGGTTTCTTTTGCTATACAGAAGCGATTATTGAAATAGAGTGCATCGTTATTTTTATAAGTTGTTTAATTTTTTATTTTACTAGTTCAAGAGAGTCTTCTAAGTGTCTTTCAGTAGGTAAATGGATAAAATAACTATGGCAAATTACACAATGGAACACTACTTGGTCATAAAAAAGAAGAAAATTTTATGGTGCTACAGCATGGATGGACCTGGAGAATATTTTCCTAAGTGAACTTAGCCTGTGAGATAAAGACAAACACTATATGATTTCACTCAGATGTAGAATGTAATGAACAAACTTAATTAACGTGCAAAATAGAGAGACTCATAGATAGAGAATGGTTGGAGCTCCTTGGAGTCTGGGGAGTGGAGGGATCGAGCAAAAGAGAAAAAGGGCTCAGGGACACAGTGCGGTGAATGCTAAGGGAGGCGGGTGGGTAGAATGGAAGCGGGGGTAAGGGGGTAAAGAGTAATGGAAAACACAATAAATAATATCCTATTTTAAAAAGTAGATCTTTATCCACACCAACAAATTATCTTCTGAATTTCTAGAATTTTAACATACTTTCCTATAAAACTTCCTTTTATGAGATTTAAAAAAAAATCCTCACCCAAGTGTATGTTTATTGATTTTAGAAAGAGAGGAAGGAAAAGAGAGAGAGCAAGAGAGAGACAAACATTAATGTGGGATAGAAACAGCCATTGTTTTGCCTCTTACAGGTGCCCCAACTGGGGCTCAGACACACAACTAATTTCTTGCCCTGACCAGGAACTGAACTCAAAACTTTCTGGTGTGTGTGATGACATTCCAACCACCTGAGCCCCCCCGCCAGGGCAGCCAGGGCAGTGAGGCTCACTTTCGTATCTGCAGGAAGGATGATTTCATTATCATGAAGTGACTCAATATTCACAAGAACATTTTAATCTTATTCTTAGTGGATAACTTTTCAGAGTATTCTTTTGCTTTTTCATCCTGGACAAATAATTCTCAATAAAATAGTTTGGTTTTCTTTCCGTATATTAATTTTTTAGTCATATATAAGAAAACACTTATTTTTTCACAGAGTGCAGTAAAATAGTTAAGCAAATTGCAGAAGTACCACTACGTAGATGAGTGGGGTGATTGCCAAAAAAAATGAGGAGATGACACCATAGTTTCCTTATGATGCCCTAAAATAGTCAACAACTGATGACCCATTCAGAGGGAAGTAAGTGATGGGGAACAAGTCCATGCATCATACAAAAAATTGTGGGTTTTATCACAGGCTAATGTAACATCGGTCATGGTCTGTCATGAAATCCTGGTCGTAAAATGAGGACTGGAGGCTATACATACAATATAATAATTATAGAAATCTCTAGATATGCAAATATGCATTGATGAAGATAAAAAATAATTGGGGAAAATTCATCAAAATGTTCCAACATTTCAGACCTGTTCTCATTTTGTCCTTTGAATTTTGTTGCATTCTAATTATTTTCTAATGAGCAATGATAGTATGATAGTATCACACTTGTAAACACAAAAAGGTTTCATTGTGAAAAATGATTTATTCCATCCCTGATGGTCTCAGTTACAGAGCAATTGCATATGTCTCTAGAAATGGCTTCCCCACCCACCTCCCCATTAAAAACTTAGAGGATCACAAACGATGATGAAGCCAGGCTCTTCACCGTGTGCCATCTAAGGAAAAAGGAACTGTTTCCTCAAAATATGACATAGCTGCATTTAGTCCCTGAGTGTTTGTCCTTGGAAACAGGCCAAAAATCCTTCCTTGGAGACTGGTCTCCAGGGATGAACAATGTTGCATTATCCTGGCTCCCCAGTATATGATGAGGTGCCCTGGTAGAGAGACAAAACATACTCTGCTCCTCGTGTGCTCACAATAGCTGCCTGATATTCCTTTTAGACACGACTTCCTGGCAGATTTTCCATTTGACCAGGATCTTAACAAAATTTTTAAGTTGACTTGTTTTTGTTTTAAACTCAGAATAAAGCAAGATGAATGCACAAAAATTTACAAAGAGCTTAACTCAAAGAAAAGAGTACAATACAGAAACTCTTGACTCAACCGGTTCTCATAGTTTATTTGTGAGAAAAAGTTGAGGTTGACAAATTTCTTGCCAGATAATATTGGAAGAAGGGTGATTTTTTCTTTCTCCACTGACTTTTGCTCTTGGTAAGTGTTAATCTCAAAACTAAAGAACTTCAGTTAGGATCAAATAAAATGGGGGTATTTTCAAAAAAATATACATACACGTATCACTTAGACCTTACCCTAAACAATGCCAGATTCTGTGAAACCAGCAGTTTAGAGTTGATGGCATTATGGTCTGCAAGCCAGGTAAATGTTTTAAAACATAATTTTTGGAAGAAATCTGATTTTGGATGCTCCACTTAGGGAAACATATCTTCTGGAAATTAATACTAATATGTGGTCTGTAACTGGGATCCCTTAGGGTGAAATTTATTTGTGATTACTATTAAATAATTTTCACAACAAAAGGACAGTAAATGATGCATTGAAACTGCTTTTCTGTTATTATTATAGGTCAAACATTTTTTCTCAGGTTTTCTGAATTATAAACAGAAATACAGTAAGAAGAGCATGTTCTCCAGAGCCACTCTGTCTTAGTAGAAAGGCAGAGCCAACAATTAATAGCTCTGACTCTGAATAAGTTACTTACTCTGACTGTGCCCTTTAACTCATTAAAAAAATGAGGCTATAAGTATCGCACCCGTGGCATAATATTGTCATGTGGAGTAAATATATTAATAAAGAAAAGCATCTAGACCAATGTCAGGCTCATTCTAATTAAGCAAAATGATTGTTTTTATTATATCATACCCAAGGGCCAATGTATGCCTACTTCTATATTTTGCAATCTAACTTAATTCTCCCACCATGTTCTGTAAGCTACTTATTATTACAAATGTTTAGCTACATTAATCTAATATACGAATAAACATTTATGAGCTCATTCCTGCTGGGTATCAACAGTTTGAATTTTATTTCTCAACAGTTTGAAGCAGTTGAACAGAATGGATAGAAGGAATAAGACAGATGTGTCTGATTTCATCCTTCTGGGACTGACAGATTCCGAAGAGATCCAGCGGGTCCTCTTTGTAGTATTTCTCGCGATATACCTGATGAGTGTGCTGGGAAATGCAGGGATGATATTAGTCATCCACCTGGATCTCCAGCTTCACACCCCCATGTATTTCTTTCTCAGTCACCTCTCATTTCTTGACCTTAGTTACTCTACAGTCATCACACCTAAAACCATAGAGAACTTACTGACGTCCTCCAAGTACATTTCATACATAAGCTGCTTCACCCAAATGTACTTTTTTGTCCTCCTGGCTGCCACGGAATGTCTTCTACTTTCCTCAATGGCCTACGATCGCTATGTAGCTATCTGCAGCCCTCTGCACTACCCAGTGGTTATGTCCAAAACACTCTGCTGCTCCCTCATCTTTGGGTCCTACTCCATTGGCTTTATGGACTCTACGATCAACATGTGTTTCATGAGCAGACTGCATTTCTGTGATTCCATTGTAATCCATCATTTTTTCTGTGACACCTCCCCAATTCTAGCCTTGTCCTGCACCGACACTCGAGACATTGAAATCATTATATTCATTTTTGCTGGCTCTACTATAATGGTATCTCTCATCACAATATCTGTGTCTTATCTGTCCATTCTGGCTACTGTCCTGAAAATTCCTTCCACTTCTGGAAAGAGAAAAGCCTTCTCTACATGTGCCTCCCATCTCCTGGGAGTCACCGTCTTTTATGCCACTTCTATTTTTACGTATTTAAAACCAAGTGAGTCCTATACCTTGGGCAAAGATCAAGTGGCTTCTGTTTTTTATACTATAGTGACTCCCATGCTGAATCCACTCATTTATAGTCTTAGAAATAAAGAAGTAAAAAATGCTCTCATTAGACTCATGCAGAATAGAAAGGCTCAGGACAATTAAAGTAACATTGTTTCTGAACAGTTACCTTCTTTCTTACTTGTTTTCTCTGCAGTATTGTCTTGGTCTCTCCAAAAACATTGAAGCCTTTTCATTTGTTTTTATTTCTGTTGAATCATCTTTGCTTAAACTAATATAATCTTGGACATTTCCAGAAATATGTCTTTTAAAATTGATATTGTAATAACAGGCCATGAAATACATGTTAAATCCATGGTTCAATTTTATTGATACATTTTTTTAAGGGAAAGTGATGCACAAAATGAGAAAATATACATGTCATTTTTTAAACTGTGGCCTAGAAATTATCATGCCTATTCCAAAGACACAGAATTTTATTATGAAAAAGAGCTCAATTTTTGCACAATCATAACAGTTTCAGAAATCACTTCATTTATTATATTGAGGAGAAGTGTAGCAGAGTAATTCGGAGCACTGTCTTTGGAACCAAACATTCTAAGATTAATACTATAGATCTATAAGTCTTTTAACTGTATAAGCCTCATACTCACTTAAGTTTCCATTTCCTCAGTTGCATAAGATAATTAATAATTCCAGGTTCCTATACTTATGTTAAATATGAAATCAGACAATGGATGTAAATCTTTTAAGGCAGTACTAATAAATGCTGGCCATTGTATTAGAAGGCTTCTTCTATTCCTGCAATAGTTTTAATACATAATAACTTTCTTAAAGATCATTCACTTGTGTTTTATAAATTACTTTTGGTTAATTTAATTGGTGAACACTCAAACATCTAGGGAATGACTCAGTGTTTTACAATTTTGAGTTCAGGCTGAATATTTTAACATCAAAAAATTTTTAATATTATTGAAAAAATTAAGAAAATGGAAAAACCTTCGCAATTGTTAACAGTTTTGTATGTGTTCTTCTTGATCACTGATTATTTTTGTATGTGCACTTATTATACACATAAGCAGAATTTATGTCATTTTTAATTTACTTTTTGCAGTTTTCTATTCATCCTTCCATGTTTAATCTTTGTCATTGAATTCAGAGATGGATGTGTTATTGGTACATGGGGAAAAATCAAGTCTTTCATATTACAATGCTTTGGACCTGAAATTTTATAAATTGATCAATTTTAAAGTCTTCATGCAATGATATATCTTTCTTGGATAAGTGCTAAAAATTCTACTTTTTTGTGCTATGTTAATAAGGTTTAGTTATGGCTTCTTTTTTGAGATATAGTATATGTTAAAAAGTCATTGTTCATCTCCAGACATTTATAAGTGTGTTGTGGTCATTAAAAATAAATTCTTAAATTAAATGCTTAACTCATTTGTTTTATATTCTACAAGACACATTGTAAAGCTAAGAACTGATAAATTTTGCAGCAACTAAGAAACTTTAGCCAGGTAGAGTGATAAATTTCTTTTATTTTTACATTTTTCCTGTACATAATCTGGAATGTTTTCTGTTATTTAAAGGTTATTTAAAAAAAATTTATTTTCCAGTTATTTGGTTTTTTTCCAAAACCATTTGACTGAATTTGCTTGACATGTAAAATCTGTACCTATTCAATATATATAATTTATTGAATTTTCCTGCAAGTCTACACCAAATGTATGTTATTTTTCAAGTTGTTTCCCTAAAAGTCTATAGCATCGTGCCACATGCTCTGATCCCTACATCTTGAGAAGAGTTACCACTTTTTAATTTTTGCTGAGAGGATGAGTGTAAATTTTCAAGAATAATGAAGTATCTGGGATTTCACTCAATTTAAAAACTAGCCAGTTAATATGGACACTTTAACTCTGTTCATTCCTCCAGCCCATGATCACAGAAGGTCTTTCCATTTCATTGTGTCTTTTTCGATCTCTTTTAGTAGTGCTTTGTTTTTTCCAGCATGTATGGGTCCTTCACATCTTTTATTAAGTTTATTCCTATGTATTTTATTCTTTTTGTTGCAATTGCAGAAGAAAGTTTTTTTAAAACTGAAAGCAACAAATGAACAAACAAGACAAAAACCAAAAACTCATAGACACAGACCATCAGTATGGTGTTTGTCAAAGTGAAGCAGGTTGGGAGGTAGTAAATGGGTAAAAAAGGGGTAAATGGGGTAAAAATACGATGATGGAAGAAGATTTGACTTTGGGTGTTCGGCACACAATGCAATACGCAGATAATGTATCATAGAATTGTACACTTGAAACCGATGTAATCTTATTAGTGTTGTCACCTTAATCCATTTAATTTTTTAAAAATGTTTGTATTGTTCAAATACATTTGTGTCCATCTTCCCGCCACCACATTCCCCTGCCCCACCCACCCCTCCTCCCACCCTCAATCCCTCTCACTTTGGCTTGGCCCATGGGTCCTTTATGCATGTTCCTTGACCTGACCCTTTCCCTTCTTTGCTCTGTTATCACCCTCCTTCCTTCCCTCTCTCTACTGTAGGTTTCTTTTTTCTTTCAGTGTTGCTGGTTATATTTTCCTTGGTTGTTTGTTTTGTTGATTAGATTCCACTTATAGGTGAGAACATGTGGTATTTGTCTTTCTTATTTCTAGCTTATTTCACTTAGCATAATGCTCTCCAGTTCCATCAGGGCTGTTGTGAAGGGTAGGAGCTCTTTTTTCTTTCTGCTGCATAGTAATCCATTGTGTAAATGTACTGTAGTTTTTTGATCTACTCATTTACTGATGGGCATTAGGTTGCTTCCAGCACTAGGCTATTATAAATTGTGCTGCTATGAACATTGGAGTGCATAGGTTCTTTTGAATTGGTGTTTCAGGATTCTTAGAGTATAATCCCAACAGTGGAATTGCTGGGTCAAAAGGCAGTTCCATTTTTAGCGTTTTAAGGAAATTCCAAACTGTTTTCCACAGTGGCTGCACCAGTCTGCATTCCCACCAAATGTACTAGTGTTGCCTTTCCTCCACAACTTCGTCAGCACTTGTTGTTTGCTGATTTGTTTATGATAGCTAACCCTAACCCTAACTTTTAAAAATAATATAAATACTTTCAGGGAAAAAAAATTACTAGCCTGGTAGCCTATTGGTCTTTGAAGGATTATGACAGAAGACACCAGACTTCAGATCAGTAACAAAAGACATTATTACTCAGAGCAAAAGGAGTAGCTGCAGTTAGTATTCACATCAGTTCCTCACACCTTCCCAGGTGCCACGAGAGTGATGCAGAGGGGTCTATCGGGGTGAAAGTGCACAGAGTGGGCTGCATTGTAGGAGAGGACCACTGCGTTTTGGGTGCTCCTCACTTTTATGGTAAGCAGATTCATGTCTATTCTTTGTTACAAGAACAGCACCTCATTGCTAGTGGAAGCTCACTGCAAAAACAACTTTGATGTGTAGCCCAGGTAAAGAGTAGTCAGGGCTTTGAGCTTCTGGTATACCCAGCAGGAAGGACTCGGGGTACTCAGGGCTCACGGGAGAGTGCCAGGCCCAGTAGAATAAAGGGCGTTAGCTGATAAATCCCTTCTGTTTTGGGGTGGTATGTCTTCCCCAGATTGTCTGTTAGCTCTCTTCCCCATACTGGTGAAGTTTTTAAGTGAAATTTATTTTGGTGACATTGATTAATAAAATCATATAAATTTCAAGTGTACATTTCTGTGATACATCATCTGTATTGTATTGTGTGTTTGCCCCCCAAAGTCAAATCTATCATCATAAAATTTGACTTTTTGTTAAACTTTTGTTACTAGCTATGTTTTTTATGCTAGAAAGAATGATTATAAAATTTTTACTTCTTTGAATTTTGTATTCTTTTCTTTGTGGAATTATATTTGATTCTTCTTTCTAAATACTCTCTAAATTTTTTAAATAACAGCAATTTCCTTTTTAGAAGTTAAAAGTTTAAATTTTTCATGATACAAAACAGTCCACTAAGTTATTTAATCTTTTACTATGCATTATTTTTATGTTTAATTTATTTTAAAACTCCCTCATATGTCAATGCCATTTAAAAGTATGACTTATTTTTGCTTTAATATCCATTTGGTCTAGACTCTGTAGTGACAGCTATTGTTATTGGCTTTTGTTTGCAATTATAGACAAGTATTTGATGAGCATTTCTTTTTTTTAATAATATTCTTTTATGGTTCACCTCTCATCCTGTAGAAGCATTATGTCATTTCATATGTTTATGGACTCTTTTTACTATTCCTATATTTTTTATAAACTGTTTTCATTTTTAATAATTTAATTATGACATATTAAAAAGAGAGAAAACTCTAAAATTGTGAAATTACATAGTGTAAGAATACATATGAACATAGTAGAATGTTACAAACATAATATTGAAGAAAAGCAAGCAATATAGAAATCAGGCTGTATATTATATTAATATATTAAAGTAAGTTTTCTAAAGGTATAGTTTTAGAAATAGAGATTAATTTATTTTTAAAAGGAAAAGCTGGGAATCTTGAAAATACAGACGAGTGGTTGTCACCGTCAAGGAAGCAGGGTAACGACAGTGATTTCAGAGACTTCCGTTATCACAATGCTCGGTTTAAATGGTTTATTGTTGGTTAGGTTCCGCTTATAGGTGAGATCATATGGTATTTGTCTTTCACCCCCTGGCTTATTTCGCTTAGCATGATGCTCTCCAGTTCCATCCAACAATGCAAAGAAGCAAGGCAAATATGACCAGCAACACTGAAAGGAAAAGAAATCAACAGAGACAAGAGGGAAGGGGGGGGGCAGGGAAAGGGAAGGGAAGGGGAAAGTCAAGGAACATATAGCAAGGACTCATGGACAAAACCAAAGGGGAAGAGCTGAGGGAGGGAAGGTGGGAGGGGGCAAGGGAAAGAGGGGGGGGGGAAGGCAGAGACAAATGTATTTAAAAAGTAAATAAATTAATTAAAAAAAAAAAAAAAGAATAAAAGAAAGAGTGCTGTACACCTAAACCAAAACATGATAGTGTTGAGTGCAAACTGTAATTGAAAAATAAAATAATAAAATAATGGAAAAAAAAATAAAATAAATGGTTTATTTATTGTGGGAGGAAAGCTTATATGTGCTCA